ATGCAAGGAGTCGAGAAGAATTATCCCCCTATTAAGAAGATGTGCTTGGCCCTGATCTTCGAAGTGCAAAATCTCTGCCACTTCTTACTTGGTCATGAAGTAAAACTTATATCAAAAGCAGACCATGTACACGTCCGTGCTTATCAGGATGTCTTACTAAATGGGCATTACTGCTGATGGAATTTGACATCAGGTATGTCCCACAAAAGGCTATCAAGGGCCAGGCCTTGGCTGACGTTCTCGCAGCACAGCCCGTACGGGCAGAATCTCCTCTATCAAGCGATCTCCCTGATGAAGAAGTATATTGTGCTGACCTTACTGTTGTGTGGGAATTGTACTTCAACGGAGCATTCCAATTGGCCTGAGGAGGCACCGAAGTAGTGTTCTTGACATCGAGAGGAGGAATATTGCCATTTTCTTTCTCTCTCGCTCAAGCTGGTTCTCATAATGAGGCAGAATATCAGGCCCTTATAATCGGACTAGAGATAGCCTTTGACCTCGACTTGGAGCAGATCAAGATCTATAGTGACTCTGAGTTGGTTATCCGACAGCTCAAAGGGATTTATGATATGAGAAAAGACACTCTCAAGCCTTACCACGATACTATAAAATCATAAATGGCTCAGTTTGAGGACATATCCCTGAGTCACATCCCTAGGAGGCTAAACTCGCAGGCTGATGCACTTGCGAAACTCAGTGCTACAATTCAATTATCCTCATCAGGGCCTACGCTTGTTTGGGTGCCAGAATGGAGACACATCGAACTAAGAACTGAGGTTGATGCGTACGATGAGAGAAATATCTTCCCCGAGTGCTCTCCTAATCCATTTAGAGCAGTTCTATCAGCCAAAGAAGTAATCAAGACTGAAGCAATAGCACAGAGTCAAGGAGCTAAGGGTCGGAATCACGAACCAGAATTCTTAGACCCAATGTGTGCAGGAATTGAGTAGGTAGAAGATTGGAGAGAACCCATCACCAGTTTCCTAAAACATGGCAGGCTCTTAGAAGATCGTACCGAACGCAACGACATATGTCGAATGTCTATCAAGTATACCCTCCTTGAAGGAGATGCTCTCTTCAGATAGTCGTTTCATGGCATTCTTCTTAGATGTGTCGATATCCAAGAAGCAAATAAGGTGTTAGAAGAAGTCCACTCAGGCATTTGTGGACTACACCAGTCCTGTCCTAAGCTCTATGAACGAATATGTAGGTTGGGATTCTATTAGCCTTCCATGATCATCGATTCCTTAAGCAATGCTAAAAAGTGCCAAGTATGCCAAATACACTCGAGCCTTGTCCACCAGCCTCCAAAACCCTTACACCCTACAGTTGCATCATGTCTCTTCTCACAATGGGGTATGGACATCGTAAGGCCTATTGACCCTCCTTCCACAATGGGCCATGTATTTATCCTAACTGCAACAGACTATTTCTCTAAGTGGTTAAAGCCGTCCCCCTTAAGCAGATTCCAGGGACAGCGGTGGCCTACTTCGTTCGACATCATATCATATATCGCTTCAAAGTGCCCGATCGGATTATAGCTGACAATGATCCTCAATTTAGGAGTCATCACATCGATCGCTTAGTTAACCAGTTTGGTTTCGAATGGAGGTACTCGACTATGTACCACCCTTGGGCGAATGGATTAGTTGAGGCTTGCAATAAGACTCTGTGCAACGTTTTAAGAAAGTCAGTATCAAAAACAAGGAAGATCTGACATGAGAAGCTTTCCGAAGCCCTCTGAGCTTATCGTACTACTACGTGAAATGCTACTGATTCTACTCCTTATTCTCTGGTTTATAGGGATGAAGCAGTTTTACCTCTCGAAATACAAATCCCTTCTCTGCCAGTCACTACTCACCAAGGAATAACCGAAGACGAGAGAGTCAAACTCCGGTATCAAGAATTGGATGCACCCGATGGAAAGAACCGCCTGGAATCCCACTGTTGGCGAAGAACCTTCCCTGCAAAACCTTAACCAGAGTCCCACTGCTTGTTGGAACTTCAAACGACCACCCTCTCCTCACCGTTAAGAAAATTTTCGCTTCAGGTTTTTTACCCATGGTGAAAAAGTGAGGGAAAAAGGGATTTTACCCCATTATATAGACCACACTACCCTCAAAGGCCCCTCACAAACTAGGAATGCTAGTCGCGTCCAACGGAAGCCAAGCGACAATGAGCCGGGTCGGGCTTTGACTCGAGGCTCGAGGTAATTCCCATTGATCTATCCCCAGTGTCGGGTGAATTTCAAACAACCCTAGCACTAGTTGACTTAACGCCAGATGTGTTTTCGAAACAACCCTAGCGTCGGTTGACTTAACGCTAGGTGTGTTTTCAAAACAACCCTAACGTTGGTTGACTTGGAGCTGGGTGTGTTTCCAAACAACCCTAGCATATAAGTTGATTTTGAGTTGGGTGTGTTTCCAAATGACCCTAGCGCCGGTTAACTTAGCGTCAGTTGTCTTCAAACAATATCACGGGTCGTTTATAGCGCCAACTGAGTCTTTAACAACCCAGCACCGGTTGTGTTTTTGAGAACTCAGCGTCAGTTGAATACTTGTAAGAAACCAATAACGCTACACATGGCACTGACCGTATTTCAAGTAGCCTATTATCACCTACTTCTGGTTGAAGTCTTGTGCGTCCTACCACATCCTTAGTGGGGTTGCACCCAAGCCGTGACTTGTCATCCCCAGTGATGTTGCACCCAGGCTATTGCACCCAAACTGTGGCCTATAATACCTAATGGAGTTAGGAGCTATCCCTCATCCCCATAGGAGTCACACCCATACTGCAGCTCATTATGCCCAATGAAGTTAGGGTCATTCTTACCTCTTCAATTTTTGGTAGGTCTGTTTCACACAAAGCCATCTTTCACCCTAGAGCGTCTGCTTACCCCCCACTAAACCTTAATGAAGTCCGCTTTTGTTGGCCATCCTTCATCAGGACACCATTTCCATCTGAGCCCTCCGTTTGTAAATTGTCTTAACCTTTTATCCCTAGGGAGTCAGATTGCCATCTACAAATCTATTCCCCATGAAGCTTCACCAAAATGGCAGCACAGCCTCGATCCATGCTGCAAGACCCTAAACTGCACCGCCTCGGTCCATGCTGCATGACCCTAACCTGCACCGCCTCGGTCCGTGTCGTATGACCCTAAATTGCACAACCTAGATCCGAACTATATGACCTTAAACTGTAGCAGAGGGCTAGTCGCACGACCTTAAACTGCGTGGTCCTAGTTGTATGACTTTAAATTGCACCACTACAGTCCAGCTGTATGACATTCAACCATAGTACATGTCCTACCCGCATGACATTAAAAGGCTCAGCACCATGGTCCGAACTATATGACCCTAAAACGTGGCGAAGGTCTAGTTGCACGACCTTAAACTACACGGTCTTAGTTGTATGAGTCTAAACTGCATAACCACGGTCCAGCTGTATGACGGTAAACCATAGTGCACGTCCAGGCCACATAACAATAAACTGCTTTGCACAGGTTCAGGAGGCATGACCATAAACTCGCCCCACATACGCTCACATGCCTTTTACTTGCACTTTCACACACACCTTCCCTAACCTACCTGTTAGTGTGCGTGCGCCACCTTCATTACCTCCCCAGTGAGTTCATTCACTTCGTCATCATTCCTCATTCCCCAGTGTGTCCCACCTGCGCTCGCAAAACGACGAACCATGTTGCCATACATACTCGTAGTAAGTTAGTGGGTCACCATCGTCCACTCACATTTCATACGTCATAGA